GGTGTTACAAAGCTCATGCTCCCAGTTTAAAACAGTCATATAAACCTCTAAAGCACGCAAATAAACATTCCATAAGTTTTTTGAAAAATATATTAAAAAAAGAGGTGATCCCTTGACTCCTCCACACTCTTGTACAACAAGCACAACTTCTCCATATTCAACCCAAGAGACACCAATCTACATCTTATTGGTAGCTTATTAAGAGTGGTCATCTGAGCAACCATAGAGTTCCTAAGGACATGCCATGGATGCGAAACAATTCTCTCCCAAGGGATATTTAACCCCTGCTCTCTCAGAGCCTTCCAAATACTCGATATAGAGTTAGGGAAGGATGTAACAAATCAGACAAGCGAGCAGCCATATCACAAAGATACACCAGGCTTCTTCAAGTCTAAATGCACTATTAGGGAAAAAATACAACCAAAATGAGATGCCTTTAAGAACATATTACTGGATCCAAGTAATCCAAATAGAATGCTCCTGCATCAGTAACTTACTGATCAAAAACAAAGAGCATGCTATATTTCAAATTTTCATATTGTGTAAACCAGGTACCCCCTCATATTTGGGAGTGAAAATCTTCACCCAACTCACCCTCCCCTTTTTATGGGCTTATGTTCCCCTTACCAAAAAATCTGGAACATAGATGATTAATATACTCCATCATTGCATCATGAAGCATAAGTTTCCAGCTCTAGAAGTGTTGGATATTATAAAGACTCGATTGGATAAGTTATCACCTACCCTTGTTTTCCATTCAAGCCTGAAGCTTAGCAGAAACTTTATCCAAAAAAGGGGTACAATCTACAAGAAAGCCTCTTCACAACTAAGAATATACTTAGATAACAAACAAGTAGAGAGCCTAGCTTAATTCCTAAAGTTTTTTATAAAGCAAACATATCAAAGGTAGCCATGTTAGTGTAGAACATTTTAGACTGTGAAGGATTTATCTGTAATTCTGAGAAATTGAAGAAAACCTTCATAACATGTCAGATTCCCATAATAGAGTCAATCGAACCATTATACTCCAATTGGTAAAACCCATAAAATCATCTACAAAAGCATAAATTGGTGAGGTGAAGGTGATGGCATTTTGGGTAAAAGGAAAAAAATATCATGCTTTGATACCTTGTCAAGCAACCAAGACGAAACATTTATAAATTACACAAACATATAAGGGGAGAGGGGATCCCCTGCGAAAATCCTTTAGCACCACTGAAAACCCCCACTAAACCATCATTAAGAGAAATAGAGAACTTAAGGATAGAAATACACTCCCTAATCTAACTAATCATAAAAGCATGGACATTCAAAGTCTCCAAAACAGTCAAAATGAACTTCCATTCAACAAAGTCAAAAACCTTTTGTAAATCCTGCTTCAAAGAGCATCTAGGGAGAAAGTGGACATGTTGTAACCATTAACAAGCTACTATGCCATAAGGGTATTGTCCAAAATATCCCTACCAGAAATGAATGCCCTTTAACTATGAGAAATCACTTCACAAGGAAGCCCTTCAACCTATTAAAAATAACTTTTGAGATACACTTGTAAACGACATTACAATAGGAGATTGATTTGAAATCATTAATAAGGCTAAGATTTGAGACTTTGCGACAAAACAAGTATGGTGGCATTTATAGTAAGAGGCATAATACTAGAATCAAAAAAGAAATAGATTGCACTCAAACATCAGCCACCATAATACTTCAGGCAGACTTGAAAAAGTAGGCAAATAAATCATCATGCCCAAGAGCCCAATCAGACTGTTGCTCCAACATAACCTTTCTAAGCTCCTCATGGGTAACCTTAACCTAAATAATCCTACAAGCCTCCTCAGAAAAAGAAGAAACCAAAAGCTCTCTAAGAATCTTAACAGAACAAAAACACATTAACATTACTAGCACCAAACTGAATTTAAAAATAACCCACAACCTCGTCAATAATATGATTATAAGCAGTCAAGAGCTACCCTTGATCATTAATAATAGCACAAATAGACTGCTTATTTTGCTCGAGCTTAACCATAGAATGAAATTAAATAGTATTACTTTCACTCTCTTACACTCAGAGAGCTCGAGCTTTATGCATATAAAAACTCTCCTCAGTATTCACCAGCTCTTGGAGCTCACTAAAAACAGACTTCTCTCTAACTAATAGGTGAACATCATGGTCCCAGATAAGACTTACAGTTGCACCTATTACAATTCCAATCTCTTATACCAACTCGAGTAGGCAAATTTTTATATCTTCTTTGATTTTAACCTTTTCAAAGAAGGCTTAAGCCTTTTAAGCTTCAGAAACAAATTCTTGAAAGGATTATGCTCGAAAAGAGGAGCATGCCAACTACTAGCCACCACAATAAGGAAATCTGGATCCTTAACCCAAAAATTAAATAATCGAAAAGGCTGAGGAATAGAGCCTATGTCAATCCCAATAGAAACAACTCCGAGACAATGATCTAAGACAGTGGGGGCTAAAAAATATACCAAAGCGTGAGGAAAAAGATCAATCCAAGAAGGGGATACAAGGACCCTATCAATCTTCCTCGCAAGAAAAGAAGTATCTTGATGATTGGATCAAGTAAAATGGCCCTAAATAAGCTTGGTCAGAAATCCCCAACACTTCCAAACAACCAATGAAAGCCTCAGTGTCCTTTCTTAGAACACTACATATAGGTTCAAAACTCTCAAAAGCATGATCCACAATGTTAAAATCAACCCCAACTAACCAGGGTTGATCACCAAACGAGCCCTTGAGCTCAACAAGATGATCCATGCTTTCTATCTTTCCCTAAATTATAACCATAGATAGCAGAAACATAGAAACTATTTTTACCAAATCTAACAAAACAATTCAAACTCTGAACAGTAACAACAACCTCGACAATGTGAAATTCAAGTTTACATAAAACCCAAATTCTACCATTCTCAGCCTAAACATAATTGTAAAGACCAAGCCAACCATCAAAGAATTTATTCCAAACGTGTTGCACCATATTCACTTTGACTCTAGTTTCAACTAAGCAGACAAGATCAATATTGAGAGCACGAATTCTATTAACTACTTATAATTATTTATTGGGATGATTTAATCCCTAGCATTCCAAAAAAGAACCTGGAGTACATGAAGTAGATGGATCACTAACACCCACCTTACCCTTCTTCCTACCTAGCATTCTTGGCAGGTTGCGTAGGAACCTTTGCAGGAATAATACATGATTTTTTTATTATTTATAATACTTCTTAATGTCGTGTTTCTTTTATTTTCTTTACTTCGTGGTACCATAAAAATTAGTACTTTTCCATTCCTTTCGGCGGATTGCATTCCCATCTATAGGGTTGGACTGACCAAACATTATCAGATTTAGTGAAGAAAAAAACTGAAGGTGTTTGAAACGAACTTAAACCTTTATAGACCTATAAAAAAACTTAAGCCTTCTAGATTGACATGTGTCACAAAAGTCTCAGGAATCCATATAAATTATACCTAAAGTTGAACTAAAGATATATACATACAGAAAAATAAAAATTATAGTTTGGTGTACATAAACAAATGATCACGAATTACACCCTGCCTATTATTCTATTAACTTAAGATAAAATATTATTTTTGGAAACCAAATATGACCTTTCATAGCCTCACTGGTTACCGAACCTCACTTGTTAAACATCATATGTTGATGCACTGATGTAAACAAAACCGTTGGTTGTTTGGTCGAGCATGATGCTGTGAAGTATATGTCGACACTAATTTTACAGGTTGCCTAATTGTAAACATAGAACACAAGTTGTTAGCAACGAGAAGTTACCATTGGTTTATAATTTAGGGCACTAAACGAGCTGAATCCAACTTGAATATTATTAAGTTCGACTCGATTCAAAAAGTTTAAAATTGAATTCGACTTGCTCGAAAGCTCGCGAGTTTGAAATTATCAAGTTCGAATCGAACTCGAAATTAAAAATTAAATCTCGGCTCGACTCGAGAGCTCACGGGCTTAAAATTATCATGTTTGACTTGAACTCGAAATAAAAAATTGAATGTTCTAATCGAGCTTTAAAAACATTGAACTCAAAATATTCTCAGGCTTAGCTCGATTGAAGCTTAAACTCGACTTCGATTTAAACTCGAAGTCGAACTCGATTCAAATTGAAGTCGAACTCGATTCAAACTTGCGTTTGAACATGAACCTTAAGTGCATGAAAATCTTATATTGTATTTTATTTGAAAAACAACATATAAATCTTAATATTAGTAATAGTTTAATTTTTTTTTAAAATAAAAATTTTAATAATTTATTTTTTGAGTTTCTCGCGAACTTTTTGAATTGAATATCAAGTAGTTCAATTTTACTCGTTAAGAATTATGTTTGGATTTCTAGACATTTATTTCCAATGGTCTTCGATTGTGTTATAATTCATTAATTTATTGGAGAAAGGAAGGTCCTACGCCGATGCACTTATTAACTCATTTCATTTTGTTTATAATTTTATTCCCCCATGTGGATTGCATTATTTGATTCCATTTTCAATTGAATAATGAAATATACTCGGTCTTTCCAACACTATAATTGTTTAGGATTTTATTTTATGAATTAATGCCCGTTTTATTATTGTAATAATTCATTATAGTTTCTCACCTAATATAGAAATAAAATTATTCAATAATCAGTCTAATTAAAAAATGGTCTAACACGTGGATAAATTCTTATCATAACCAAAATCCAAAATAAATATTTATTAAAAAAATCATAACCAGAGTTGTTAGCTCATCAATGTGAACAACTACTAATAACACACAATTGACCTTCTAACCACATTTGACCACTATTCATTTGCATGTCTATATATACTCTCATCAATTTCCACACTTCCAAAACCAGCTGGAAAATTACAAGAGACTGACCCAACTCAAAACTCAATTTGATTTCTCCTTGGCTTGCACACAAAAACGTTAATAGAAGAAAATCCCTGTTCCATTTCTTCTCGAAAAGAATCGAAATCCGGGGGGGGGGAATATGGATGGTTTACAAAGAGCTGGAAATCCCAGCAAAAGAATAGGGAATATTAGCAGCATAGGAAGGAGTATAAGCAGAAGCAGCAGGATCATTGAAGATGCATTTTCAGCTTCCATGCACTCGAGCCGAAGTCGTAGAGTCGACGATGACGAAGAAGCTTTAAAATGGGCTGCCATCGAGAGGTTACCCACTTACGATCGCCTTAGAACCAGCGTCATGCAGTCGTTTGTGGATCATGAAATCATCGGGAAGAAGGTGGAACATCGACAAGTTGATGTTACAAAGCTTGACATGAATGACAGGCAGAAATTCATGGACATGCTCTTCAAGGTTGCCGAGGAAGACAATGAGAAGTACCTGAACAAGTTCAGAAACAGGATTGATAGGTAAGCGTAGGAGACGCGTAATTATTTCTGATACTCGTACACTTGCCCAAGTAACATAATTGATGACCAATTCTCTCCACTAATTTTGTTTTTGGTTGATGACAGGGTTGGTATCAAACTACCAACAGTGGAAGTGAGGTTTGAGCGCTTGACGATCGAAGCCGATTGCTACATTGGCAGCAGAGCTCTTCCTTCTCTTACCAACGTTGCTAGAAACATTGCGGAATCGGCTCTCGGCTTGCTCGGAATCAAATTGGCAAAGACAACAAATCTCACCATTCTTAAAGATGTCTCTGGCATTGTAAAACCATCAAGGTATATATAATAAGCTATGACACTCTTCGCTTTCTTTGTTTCCAAGGACCACTCATTCAATTTGCGATTTTCAGGATGACACTCTTACTGGGGCCACCTTCTTCTGGGAAGACGACCCTTTTGCTGGCTTTGGCGGGCAAGTTGGATGAAAGCTTAAGGCTTAAAGGACATGTAACATACAACGGATATAGACTTAATGAATTTGTTCCTAAGAAAACATCTGCATATATCAGTCAAAACGATGTTCATGTCGGAGAAATGACAGTTCAAGAAACCTTAGATTTCTCTGCAAGATGTCAGGGTGTTGGGACTCGATATGGTAATATACCAAAAATAAACCATTCATTCTATGCTTTGTTGAATATGATTTTTAACTATAACTTTTGATATGTGTTCTTTTTTATTTGAAGATCTTATGAAAGAGCTTGCTAGAAGGGAAAAAGAAGCAGGAATTTTCCCAGAAGCTGATGTTGACCTTTTCATGAAGGCAACTGCCATGGAAGGAGTTGAAAGCAACCTCATCACTGACTACACTCTCAAAGTAAGATACCATTCATTCGTTCATTAATCTTTCTTCAAACCTTAATCCATCAAATCATCCATGGATAAGTTTTCTGATTTTGTTTTGTATTGAATTGGTCAGCTTTTGGGGCTTGACATATGCAAGGATACCATTGTTGGAGATGAGATGCACCGTGGAGTTTCTGGTGGACAAAAGAAAAGAGTAACAACAGGTTCATTATTTCTCAATCCCCTTCTTTTCACATTCATTTCCATATATTAATCTAACAATTTGATTAAATACAGGGGAAATGATTGTCGGTCCAACCAAGACACTTTTCATGGATGAAATATCAACCGGTCTCGACAGTTCCACAACATACCAGATAGTCAAGTGTTTGCAGCAGATTGTGCACTTAACCGAGGCTACAATATTCGTGTCCCTGCTCCAACCGGCTCCGGAGACTTTCGATTTGTTCGATGACATCATCCTCTTGTCCGAAGGTCAAATTGTTTATCAGGGTCCACGTGAGCACATTGTTGACTTCTTTGAGGCTTGTGGCTTCAAATGTCCTGAAAGGAAAGGCACTGCTGACTTCTTACAAGAGGTCACTTCAAAGAAGGATCAAGAACAATACTGGGAAGATAGAAGCAAGCCATACAGATATATTTCAGCCACTGAATTTGCGAGCAGGTTCAAGAGCTTCCATGTCGGAATGCAGCTTCATAACGAGCTCTCTGTGCCTTTCGACAAGTCGAGAGGACACAAAGCAGCATTGGCTTTCCAAAAATTCTCGGTCTCTAAAATGGAACTTCTTAAGGCCTGTTGGGACAAAGAATGGTTATTGATCAAGAGGAATTCGTTCCTTTACGTGTTCAAAACTGTTCAAATTATCATCATGGCAGTCATCGCTTCGACGGTATTTTTCAGGACTGAATTGAACACTAGGAACGAGCAAGATGGTGCAACCTATGTCGGTGCACTTATATTCGGAATGGCCATAAATATGTTTAACGGTCTGTCCGAGCTCTCCTTGATGATCAATAGGCTCCCAGTGTTCTACAAACAAAGGGATCTTCTATTCCACCCAGCCTGGACTTACACTTTGCCCAGTTTCTTGCTCAGGGTTCCAATATCAATTCTTGAATCTGTTATTTGGGTCGCAGTGACATATTACACTATCGGATTTGCACCAGAGGCCAGCAGGTATATTGAATCGAAGCAATCTTTTAACATGTCACTCAATTAATCCGAGATGTCCTTTTACCTGAGCAACAAGTTAACACCCTTCAAACCTATTGCCAGATTTTTCAAGCAGCTTCTGCTGGTGTTTCTGACACAACAAATGGCGGCCGGGCTCTTTAGACTCATCGCCGGATTATGCAGAACAATGGTCATAGCTAACACTGGAGGGGCTCTTACGCTTCTCCTTGTGTTCTTGTTGGGAGGCTTCATTGTTCCTAAACGTAAGCATAAATCGATAAAAAAAAAGGAAGATTATCACACTTCTCCTTGTTTGTTATGGTTTAACTGATAAGGGGTGTTTTATTTTGACAGGTGAGATTCCGAATTGGTGGGAATGGGCTTACTGGGTTTCACCATTGAGTTATGGTTACAACGCCTTCACTGTGAATGAACTATTCGACCCGAGGTGGATGGACAAACTGGTATGTTATATAGCTTTCTTGTTCAGTAAGACATCGGATGTTCGTATATCATGAAGAGACATACAATTTCATTAAAAGAAAGTTAGTTACAAGCCAAAACTTTGTCTACAATGCAGGCTTCGGACAATGTCACGCGGTTGGGGGTACAACTGCTTAGAAACTATGATGTTCCAAATAATGAAAACTGGTATTGGATTGGAGCAGGTGTTCTTTTAGGGTTCACAGTGCTCTTTAACGTTCTCTTCACCTTCGCCCTCACCTACCTAAACCGTAAGTTTCAACACTCCATCGGAATAATGTGTTCTTCTAGCATATCAGTATCTTCCTTTAGGTAACTAATCTTCTGCATTTTCTTGGCTGGTGTATAATAGCCATTGGAAAGCCGCAAGCTGTAATTTCCGAGGAAACCGCAGAAGAACTAGAGGCTAACTATGAATGTACGGAGGGAGAACCAAGGTTAAGGAGACCTGAATCGAGCAAAGATTCGTTCCCACAATCACTCTCTACTGCAGATTCACTTAATTCAAGTAAGAAACTTAACAAAATGGTTTGTTTCCATAAAGTTTACTCTTTTAACTATCAAAATATTAACCGAAGTTTGTATTAAATGAAATCTTTTAGAAGAAATAGAAATCCAAAGAATGAGCAGTCGGACCAATCCCAATGGAATGAGACAGAAAGATTCTTCACTTGATGCAGCCATAGGTGTTGCTCCCAAGAGAGGAATGGTTCTTCCTTTCACTCCTCTTGCAATGTCCTTCGACACTGTCAATTACTATGTAGATATGCCACCGGTAAGATCCTTTTTCCACTCTTTACAAGTCGAATTTCGACACAACCTTATAGTTGTTACCATGGAGCATGGTTTGAAAATCAAGTGTATTTGAACAGGAAATGAAAGCACAAGGAGTTGCAGAAGACAGATTACAACTACTTCGAGGAGTAACGAGTACGTTTAGGCCAGGAGTGTTGACTGCATTGATGGGAGTCAGTGGAGCTGGAAAGACAACATTGATGGATGTTTTAGCAGGAAGAAAAACCGGTGGATATACCGAGGGTGATATACGAATATCTGGTTTCCCCAAGGTCCAAGAGACCTTTGCTAGAATTTCTGGATACTGCGAACAAAATGATATTCACTCACCTCAAGTTACTGTCAAAGAATCCTTGATTTACTCCGCTTTCCTACGCCTACCCAAAGAAGTCAGCAATGACGAAAAGATGGTAAGAACACTGCTTTGTGTTGTTTTCAATGACATAAAGCATGCCATTAGTTATTTAATTCAGGGTCTAAAAGTTATTTGATGTTCTGTTCAGACTTTTGTGGATCAAGTGATGGAACTGGTCGAACTCAACAACCTTAAAGATGCTATAATAGGGCTGCCAGGAATCACAGGGTTGTCCACCGAGCAAAGAAAGAGGTTAACAATTGCAGTAGAACTCGTTGCTAATCCCTCAATCATTTTCATGGATGAACCAACATCCGGCCTCGACGCAAGGGCAGCGGCCATTGTCATGAGGACTGTTCGAAACACGGTGGATACTGGACGAACAGTTGTCTGCACTATTCATCAGCCTAGTATCGATATCTTTGAAGCCTTTGATGAGTTACTACTGATGAAAAGAGGAGGTCAGGTGATATACTCTGGACCGTTAGGACGAAATTCTCATAAGATTATCGAATATTTCGAGGTATGTAACTATAACAAGATTTCTCGTATCTATTTCACTAATTCAAAGAGAGAGAAAAAGAAAAAAGAAATCGTCATCATTTCATTCCCCTTGTTCACCGTTGCAGGCAATCCCTGGAGTTCCCAAAATTAAAGACAAGTACAATCCAGCTACATGGATGCTAGAAGTGAGCTCTATAGCAGCTGAAGCTCGAATCGGAATCGACTTTGCTGAACACTATAAATCTTCATCCTTATACGAGTAAGTCCAGACAATAAGGAATTTCAATTGTCTACCATTCACTTATTTATGTTGCCTTGAGCTAATATATATAAATGTATGTAAACAGGAGAAACAAGGCCTTAGTAATGGAGTTAAGCACACCGCCTGTAGGAGCTATAGACCTTTATTTTGCCTCTCAGTACTCACAATCCGCATGGGGTCAATTCAAATCATGCCTTTGGAAACAATGGTGGACTTATTGGAGAAGTCCAGACTATAACCTTGTTAGATACTTCTTCACTTTAGTTTCCTCCCTCATGGTCGGTACCGTATTTTGGCAGGTCGGCACTAAAAGGTCAGTACTGATTTTCGACTTACAAAACTTATATTGTTGTCCTTATTTTTCATGTCTGCAGCATTATCCAATGTTTGACAAAAGGCTTACATTTTCTTTCTCTTTGTTCCTATGGTTCAGGGATACCACAACCGATCTTATGATGATAATTGGGGCAATGTATGCTGCAGTCATGTTTGTCGGAATTGCTAACAGCTCAACGGTACAGCCGATTGTAGCCACCGAAAGAACGGTGTTTTATCGCGAACGAGCGGCTGGGATGTATTCTGCACTACCGTATGCCCTGGCGCAGGTGCGTGAAAACAGATCTATTGCACTCATTCATTACATTTCCATTCTTTAATCTCGAAATTAACTGCATAAACTGCTTAATTGCAGGTTATATGTGAAGTACCGTACGTATTATTCCAAACATCGTATTATACGTTGATAGTGTATGCAATGGTGGGATTTGAATGGACTGCAGCAAAGTTCTTCTGGTTCTTCTTTGTCAACTTCTTCTCCTTCCTTTACTTCACTTACTATGGAATGATGACAGTTTCCATCACTCCCAACCATCAAATAGCAGCTGTATTCGCTGCCGCCTTCTACTCTCTCTTCAATCTCTTCTCGGGCTTCTTCATTCCAAGACCGGTAAGTTTACTTGTTTCACAAGCAATCATTGAGTTTTAACAATGATCATAAAAACTGATACAAATTCATCACCTGCAGAGAATTCCCAAGTGGTGGATCTGGTACTACTGGATTTGCCCCATGGCATGGACAGTTTACGGGCTCATTCTTTCCCAATATGGAGATATTGAAGACACCATAAAAGCGCCTGGTATTGTGCCCGATCCCTCTGTTAAATCGTATATTAAAGATCAATACGGATACGAGTCGAACTTCATGGGACCGATTGCCGGAGTTTTGATCGGCTTTGCAGCCTTCTTTGCCTTCATGTTTGCCTACTGCATAAAGAGGCTCAACTTCCAGACCAGATAATTTTCAAGTTTTATACACTCAAACTTCCACATCAGATAATTTTGAGGTTCTAAAATTTATATATTATTCTTTCGTCTTCTATGTTTGGGTTGGAGTTATTATTCTCAACAATGTAATTTTGAATTTTGAACTTGTATTCCTATTTTAAGAATGTATTATGTTATATCATTTTTTCTCATCAAATAATACCGGGTAATCTACTCTTAATAATTTGATACTGAACGCTTAATCAATCTTACCGTAGTTGTTAGTGTTCGAATTCAAATTCTCTAAAAATAACAACCATTACTTTAATATAGTAAATTGGTTTGCGTATAAAAGAGATTTTTATAACATACCCAAAAGTCTTGGTGGCCGTGAGTTTAGGGTCTTGTGGTACACTGGCTGTAATTGAGTTGACTCAGAATCGGATTTTGGGGGTCATTGCCAGTTGGGATTTATTTTGAGTTTTCGTGTTTTGTTTCTATTTTTTATAAATATTATATAAATTTTGATTAATTCGAATTAAATATTATATAAATTTATTATAAGAACAATTTTTTAATTTAATTCATTTCACTCATTTAAGTTGTTAAATATTATTTGAAAAACATAATGTTTTATCTCATTAAACTTTTTTTTATTTTTATCTTACTAAACTAATTGATAATTAATATATTTTAAATAAAAAGTATTTAACATGATTTTAATTTTTATTTGTGGATAATAATCATATATAATATATTTGACACATAAAAGCAGTGGCCATCATCTGAGAGTGTATTCAGTTCGGTTCGATTCGATTTTTTACTAAAAATGGAATCGAACCGAAATAAAAGGAATTTTAGAATTTAAACCGAAACCGAATGGTTAAAAAATCGAATTATGTGAAATCGATTTTTTCGATTCGATTCGTTTTTTAACGGTTTAATTTTTTCGGTTCGGTTTATCAGTTTTTCAATAAAAATTCACTTGAAACTATAAATTAAAAAAATTGTCTATTCGGTTCAATATGAAACACAAATGGGTTCAATATGAAACAAATGAGTTTCATTTAAAAATTCCAAACCGAACCGAATCAATAAAATTGAAACTTTAAACTAACTCGTAAATCAAACCGTATAAGATCAAATCAAACTATTTTACTCTATTTATATCGATTTTTTAATTTTATCGATTTCGTTGCTCAACCTAATCATATGTGAGCAGAGACTCCATCATCTTCTGAAATCGTCCCGCTTGTTTCTCTCTCTTCATCTCTATTTGAGTTCTTCTCTCCTGCTCTCCTCCTCCTCTCATTTCTCTCGTTCACTCATTATTACTGTTTCCCTTTATTCAAACTCTTCTTTCACTCCTTTTTCAACGCTCCTTTTCATGTTTCTGTCTGGGTCTTCTTTAAAATGTTTTAAAATGTTTTAAAATGTTTTAAAATTCTCTCAAAGTTCTTAAAATTGTCCTTCCCTTGTCTAAAGTTTAATTTTTAAATCTTTTTTATTAAGATTTACGGGTCGGGTCGGGTCGGGTTGTGACCGATCAAACCGGTTAAATGGGTTACAAAACCAGTCAAATCGGTCATTTTTCCTTCCCCACGTGCAGTGGCGGCACGTGAACAGTGCACTGATATCAGAAAATTCCCGAAAAAATTCCTAAAAATTATTTTAATCGATTTCGAGATACTTACAAAGCTCCGTTCAATTTTCTGAACGGCGGAGAGCTCGATTTCAACGAATCGGAAACTTTGACCGCTTCACCTCCACACGCGCCGCCGCCGCCGGAGAAAAGGGAGGACACTGGTGGACTCGAAACGACTCAAGGAACACGATGATGCGGGAGCTGTCGTAAACGGATGACCCGATCGTCGTGAATCGATGAAAAACCAACTAAAACCGAGTTATTACCGACAATACTTCCGACTGAAATTCACGACGAGCGGTGATGATTCACAACGAAAGGTTTGAGGGGTTTGGTTCCTCGGTTGATAACAAACACGATGGTGGTTTTAGCTCGTCGATCGGAGGTCGGACGACGAGTAGATCGGAGTTAAAAGGAGGGTTGACGGGAGAGGGAAAATTGGAAAAATTTTCAGAAACATACGGGAGATTGGGGGTATATATCATCTCATAATTAAAAATGGCTAAACCAAGAGTTTAGCCACTGAACTTTCTGCACTTCATAAAACGGTCTGCCAACTTTAAAATTTTGCAATTTAACCCACTGTTTCTTTCAAAATACCAAATTAAATCCACCACTTTATAATTTCTTAAATTTAGCCCTAAATTGGGGTGTTACAATTCTCCCCTCCTTAAAAAAATTTCGTCCCCGAAATTCATTCGTGTCACATAATTGCAGAAATGAAACTTCCATCAGTTCTTTCATATCTTTCATGTAGCTCTTATAGAAATACGAATCCTTCACTAATCCTTAACTAGTTGAGCATACATTTTTATCATAACTTTTCCTTATTTCAATAAAAGAATCTGAACGAAAATTTTCTCGAGTAATCAATCTCTTCATAATTCTCCCTCAGTCCAAGTAAATAATCAAAACAACTTTATCCTTGTGAAATCAATTCAGCCTTGGCTACGTGAATAGGCTCATAGAGCAGCAGCATATCTCAATTTCATTTCCGGAGTCAGGTCAGAATTTCTCGGATAATTAACTCTCACATTGCTCGTGAGGTACTTTACAGCATTTATACAGATGTTACTGGTATTCCTTTTTGCAAAGGTATAGTCTTAACGAATAGAAACTTAAGTTTACTCATTACAGATAGGGACTCAACCATGGAGTTCCAGCTCAGAGAGGTACGATTGTAGTCTAGGGGCATGTACTGATCAGACATATTTTGACATCCGACCGGCCTGTCTAACTTGAAAATTTTGACTCAAACCAAAGCTCTGATACCACTAAATGTAAGCCCCATAGACCGATAAGGGTAACCAGATCCGATCCGGGGTGTCACATTTGGGCCACCGGAGTGACCCACTTTAAAAATAGTAGAAAATTTAAAACTTTTTAAATTACATGTAAACTAATAAAATCAGTTGTCACTATTTAAAAATAAAACATATTTCCAGATTCGTATATAAATCAAAATACAATTACATGCCCCCTAATCACATGTACCATACTCTGTAACAACGCCGAAAAAACTCCCTTACTGAAGTCGATAGATGCACTGGTACAATTCTTTTAACCTGAAAAGGTGAGTAATAGAGTGAGCTTTGAAAAGCTCAGTAATACAGAACTACCAGATAATGCTGAAGAACGTGCAGATACAGATAAACATACATATCCTTATTATTTCTGAACGTTTATAGATTTTTATGCTGAGCAGAGATTCTACTGATATTTCAGATGGTAACGGACAATGAGCTTTCAGTTCAGACAAATATTTCGGATGACTGAGTTCAGGAGATCAGAATAGGTTATCTAGTGTGTTCCCATAAAACCAATAAAAAGATATATATATATTTTTTAAAGCATATATATATACACCCCCATCCTTTCACAATCTGTTTGTGTAGGTTCCCCGGAACCATACACCCCGCACAACCAGTAACAGTAAGGCCCTGAGCACACAGCCGAGGAGTCTGCAGTAATCTTCCTCCAACAATAAACCCCCCAGATAAAACATTTCTCCGTCGGTAAACGGAGATATCAGAAATCAAAACAGAATTCATATCAGATATCAGAACAGAATCCAGATCAGAATCAGAACAGAATTCAAGTAACGTATCAGAACAGAATTCAATTCGGAAATCAGATAAAATATTTATATAATTAGGGAACACACCAGAGTTTACAAGTATTATTTAGAGGTACTGTATCAGGCAGAGAAACACAGTTATTTAGTATGCCGATAGAATATCGAAATTCAGAATCACTATTGGAAGAGTTCAATAACTGACAAAATCATCAATTATTCAGAATATGACTTGAGCTGTAAGGAAGAAATGAAGATTCAAGACATTTACAATCTATGTCGATTGATCGGATTATCAAACAACTCTTAAATGAATAGCTCCCAAAATTAATGCTTGTCGATTGATCAATTCATTGTTCTTCCAGGGTATTTACTCTTTAATACCACAAACTCTTGTCCATAGATAATTTTTAGAATCATCACTGAATAGATCTTCCAATGTCTTTATTTTATTTTTACGCTTCCAATATATCATGAAATACTGACGTGCTTGATTTGTAGTTCATGATCTAGAAGAATAGTACATTGTGTATGTTCATTAACGTTTCCAAACTCATTCACATCACTTACTTAATCCTTAGTGATTGAGGTTGCTTAGTTCATTTAGCATTCAAGTCTATTCCAGTTACTTCGGGATTTTCCAGAGTAATTTCGTACATTTCTGAATTTCAAATACATATTGTACTTCCGTTCAGTTCAGTTTGGTCTTCGTGGTTGATTTATCGAACAAATATCCAATTTTTAGTACCGAATGCAATCTAGAGTTGAGCTGAGCTGAATACTTCCAAAATTATCATTGAGCTAAACTTGAGTAGACGAACATGTATTCAAGTAATAACTATGTCGTTCAGGTACTGACATATTATTAAGGTTGATCGGCTCACTTAAGTTATGTTCCATAACTTTTAAAGGTAGTCCAATACCTATGCTTATTTGGATTCCTTAATTAATCCAAGGTATTTACTTAGTTTAGGCCATAAAGTTATTTTGGTAATTTTGGTGTTCAGTTTTATTCCATTTATTTCAGAGCTCGAGGATATCCAATCATTCCTGAGCTTGGTGATATTCTTGGGTCATTTCCATTACATGAGTATTTTGGTCATTTTACATATCTACGGTATTTCAATCTTTTCCTGCCATCCGATCTTATTATTTAATTCAATCTTATCATTTACTTCAGTCCTTTTGAATAATTCTGACAGCAGAATACCCCCGATAACTTATTCTTCAAGTATTTACTCATTATTCGAATATTTATGGGTCAAGTGTCTTCTCAGATTTTACAAACGGAATATCAGGAATTTTCCTGCACTAAGTCAGGATCTTAACAATTAAATCCGTACA